AAACCGTTGAAAATTATTGAAATCGGACTAAAATTACGGCCGCTTTTCATATAACGGTAAATTTCAGAATTGCTTGAAATTTCAATATTTCGAAATTTAAGGATGCTAGTTTACTTAATATTTATACACCCGCTTATCATGTAGCGGTAGCTTTCGGAAAGGTGGAAAACATATATTTAATACATGCGCCGGGTATTTAATGTTCGGCTCCGCCCGAACTTAGACTTTCTTACTTGTTTTACTTCCGTTCAACTTTCGAAACTTGTACGATTTTCTAAGAAGTTTCGTTTTTTTTTTTTCTTTCAAGTACATTGCCTTTCTTTGTGTATCATTTTACATTTGTTTATTTTTTTTCCTTTTTTGCATTTCTTGCATCCCTACATTTCGTTGTAATTATCTGCACGTTATTTGTGGGTCAATAAAGTTTGATAGTTTGGTCAAGTTTCGTTGGTGTTATTGCTTTGCATTGCATGCAAGTGAGCCATTGCTCTGACCACTTGTCTTTATGGCCTGACCTGGCCTTTGCTTCGCTGCATATGGGCAAGTGTTTGACCTGCAACACTGGAATGGTTATTTCCCGAAGGCTTTATAGCATTTATGATTTTACTTTTGCTATTTCATCTCTTTTGAAAAAAAAACGGAAAGGTGTATATACCACACTCATGAGAGTGAGTATTTTAACAGTATTTCTTATTGATCTGGAGCACGAAATTTTCAAATTAACTAGTTATACAATATTGCTTAGGATGGGCATATTATACGAGACGTACATCTCATAAGTATCTTCTAAAAATTATTGGAATGCTTAGCCATAAATATAATGGGGGTTTGAGTAATTAAGAGAAGGAGAGGACCTGATGGTACTTAAAGGAGCCACAAATCCGATATCTTCCGAAGTTTCCTATCTAAGATTAATTCAGGATGCCTAAATTGCATGGAAGTCCCATTTGAGCATTTCACATCCAAAGAGTTGTCGGCATTTTGACAATGCAAACCGGTCTTTGGTAAAACGTGGAGTCTGTCAGCAAAGGGTATCGTCTGTATTTACACCTCGATTATCAGATCCAATATTATTTATACATCAGTGGCTTGGTGGAGCAGACTCTCAATCAATAGCGTGGGAAATCTGTTTGCCAAACTTCAAAGGACACCTGGTGCTACTTAAATAAATGTTGGTATGTTACTGAGTGGAGCGAGACGGAGATTACGCTAGTCAGAGATCTAGACACAAGTGCCTTCTCAATGCCCCAGGATTGTACGTCACCATTACTTTCGCTGAGGAGATTCTAAAAGTTTACCAAAAAAAAAACTTTGAAAGCGGCCGCCAAAAGAGATTTCTCCTATATCTCCGCACTCCGTCGAGTTGGACGTTGGCCTCCAGATTTATCCGCTTGTACTGATTTACCACATTTAGATTATTAATGCGGGATTCCTGATACTGGCAAGGTGATGCTGACAATAACGCTGGTTCGCTAGAACAACCGCTTACGCTGGGAAATTTGGGCGCATTTGCGCAATGTGTCCAGCAGCGATGAAGCGGGCTACAGCGGCAGCAATAAACTTGTAGAATTGGTGTTCGCCAACATGAACGTCTGATAGTGTTGGAAGGGCGGCGAAGGTACTCTCGGTCTGCCGATTTATACATAGATACGATTATGGGCAGGGGGTCCAGGTTATGCTCTTTGTTAGACCAGCGCCAAATACTGTTAAGTCAGGTGAGAAGATGCAACTACCACTAGAAGAAGCAACGATGCCACCAGCACATACGGCACAACAAACAGTACATTTTAGTGGATTTAATGATGCCTCGTTAATCTCTCGTGGATTACCTTGACTCAGAATGCATCGGTTTTGCCTATTGACATATCCATTGAGCCTCGTCACTGAACAGACTATTGCAATACAACAAAGGGTCGCCTCTAGTTGATTTTGTGTCCAATGTATGAACAGCTTGCAAGCGTTGTACATACGTGGTTAGGCTATGATGAAAGTGTAAACCAAATTGCGACCAACTTATTTATAATAGCGTTGCCAAATTTGACGAATTTGTGACCATTTACTCGTTATCGGAAAATGGAACTTCTAAAAAAATACCCTTTATTAGCTTTGCACGGCATATGTGTATACTAAGGTGGTCCAAAAATGCATGTGAAAAAAGTAAAGTCGGAATTTTAATGCGCTCACCCCTAGCATTGTTCTGTGTCGAAAAAAATATACCACTGTTTCTTTTATTTCGAAATCAATAAAATGTTTAGAGGTCGCTCAAAGCGTTCAAAGTTTTCAATATATTTTATTTCGAAAAAAAAAACAGTTTTTCGTAGAAATGGTATAGAAACTCAATATCTTTCACTTCAGAAGACTCCCTATAATAATATCCAATTGTTCATTTAACCATTTTTTTATTTTTTTCGTTTTTTTTTTAAATTTTTATGGTTGTTGGGAGACCCATTGGCTTTGTACGCTGGGGTCTCTGTGTCGAATCCCGGTGAAGAAGTCTGGTGAGGAGATGTGATGATATCCGAAATAGCAGCTATAACTTCTACTATTTATAAACTATTGTTGTTTTTCCACAATGACTTTTCATATAAATAACTTTTCATATAAAACGGCCTCAAACCCAATAAAAAATTTGTAATATAAAAAAAGTTCATATTAAAAAATTGTTAAATATATAATTGGATATTATTGTTAGAAGTCTCCTGAAGAGAAACAGAGTTTCCGATCGAAAAATGTTGATTTTCACGAATTCTATACCATTTCTACAAAAATTATTTTTCCCCATATAAACTACATGGAAAACTTCGAGCACTTTGAGTAACCTCTAAATATTTTTTTCACTTCAAAATTAAGAAGCAAGGGTATAAAAAGCATTAAAATTCCCAGTTTGTTTTTTTTTACAACCCTAATTCATACGCTACTGTGTGAGAAATTGAGTTAAAGTGTAAATGTATGTTAATGCACTTGTTTGCTTGCGTATTGACAATCAAAAGCATTTACAACATAGCTGGGCACACCAACACAGTCTCATTTTGACATGGTATTAGTGCGTCGCGCTCAGTTATGGTTGCCGCATTTTTTATAAATGTACTAAAAGTGGTATTTTTCGTGCATGGGTATTTTGGCCTATTTTGCTTATACCTATAGTGTAATAATGAACCTTGGAAGTTTTTAGTAACTAATACTATTAGTTTATACAACCTTTTGCATAAGAAAAATTTAGTACTTGTATAATTTAAAAAAACTTAAATTAGGTAAACTCATTTGTATAATACCTGGGCTCCGTTTTATTAGAACAAATTCTTTTATATGCTGACCGGCCAGATGGTTACGGTGTTTAGGTCTTATTTTTTAACCGACTTCCAAAAAAGGAGGAGGTTATCAGTTCGTCGGAATCTTTTTTTTTCTATAAACTCAAGATGCGCTCAACTTTCAAAAGTACCTAATAAAAAATTTTAAAAAAGAGTCAGTAAAAATAATATTGATTCCATGAATTTTGGAATTTTATGTTCATTTTTTCGATTTCTGGTTTCTGGTTTCGATAGATGGTGATTTTTCACGATTGTTAAATTTTTTTAATATTTCGAGTTCCGAAAAAATTAACTGAACTCTCAAGAAAAACGAAGAATTCATATAAAACGACGGACGAGAAATGGAAAAGAAATTTTCTTCTACCAAATTTTCATAAATCAGATTGCAGCTCTCAAGAAAAAAATGCTCGCATATTTATTTCCTCATGAAAATTTACAGCAAAAGCAAAGCGCTTTTTCAAGCAACAGAAATTATAATAAATATTTCTTATAAATTCCTTGAGAGCTGGATTCTTAGCTTTAAGATACAGATTGTATTTGAGGTTATTAGCTTTAGGGGGGGTTTGAACCCCAAAACCCAACCCTCTGTGTGCGCTAATGCGACTATATCATGTCTATGTTATCTCAATCGATTTTCAGGTGTAGGAAAATTTAGAAACATGAAAATTTCAAATTTTCGCGATATCTCAGCGAAAAGAAATTATATTTGAGCAAACAAAACGCCATTTGAAAGATATAAGACTTGTACTTTAAGATGCCAGCCTATTATTTTGGTGGAGAAAACATCTGCAAGGCTACATAACCTCAAATATGGGCAAAAGCGGTGTTTTTTAGGACTTTTAGGTTAGGATATCTCAAAAACCAGAGCTGATAGAGCAATTCTGAGGCCAGATTCGGATTCATCGCATCGAAATCCTTCGAAAATATATAGTCCGGTTTCTGGGTCTGAGATGCTATCGGCCTGTGTTATTATTATTGACCCATATTCGCTTTTTGATTTCTGAAAATATATTTAAAATGTTTTCGAATTACTTACGGCAATTTGATTATTTTCTCTAGACTTGTTGAACCTATTAAAAGGAATCGGATAAATAAGCAGACTTTTCGTGTTGTTGCTGGATAAAGAAGTATACTTCGCAAAGCGTGTTTTTTGTCTTTTTCACCAATATTTTTCAGTAGTCAAAGTTAGACAAAAACAACGCATCTCCGATTCCCATTAGACTATAGTCTATAGATGTAGGATCAGTTGAAAAAAAAACATACATCATGTTTAAAGTACATCATCTTTTGTATTATTTAAATAAAATTTATAAAAAAAAAACTACAAATGAATGATGTAACTTTTTTAGGTACAATCTGTCTCAGTTTAGGTACATATATTTTATGATATTAGGTACAATCTGAAATTTCCATTTTTCATCCCTGACGTGTATAGTAGCAATCTAAAAGAGTTGAACGCTACATATTGACTGCAAACAAAAGTGCCGAAAGGGTATTGAACTAGTCGTATGGCATGTCAATTTGTCAAAACGTGTAAATCATAGCTGGGCAAAACGCTACTCGCGAGTAGCGTCTGCGTCGCAGCGCTTATACGTATACAGAAACGACGCAGCGAATTTCAATTCAGTCTGCTTTCAGATTTCATGAGAGTAACATTATGCTTCGCCGTTGAATATTTTTATTCGTAATTTTAGCGCGTGGTTGCCACCTATATATGTAACAATGCCCAAAATGTCTGAGTATGAGTGCCAATTACAGTTTTCGGTTTTAAAAAAAGCTAATAACGCCCAATGCTTGTTGTGTGGTAATACGACCATTAACCATAAACAAATGAAAAAAACGCTCCACTCAGTGCAATTATAGAAAAGTGCTTCTCAGCGCGACGCACTAGGGCACACATTGCATACTTTATTTTATAATATTTTTTTTATCAAAAGAAATCGATAGAGAAATGTAAATGCTGGTTTATGCCCAAAAATACTTAATGAATAATATTTATAAGTTATACTCTATTTTTAAGACTAAATACCTACTTATATGAAACAAGTAATTTTTAGCAAGAAAAAAACCGACTTCAACTCTCATATAAAAAAAAAATATATATATATATATCTCACGATCCACTGATCGGATCTTAACCAGATT